ATTGGTGGGATTGCATCATAATGGAGGTTGGATGATGAGCAGTGGCTGCAGAACCTTTGGATGTGAAAGGCCACATTCCTGGATCTGTGTGCCGAGCTCACACTAGCCCTCCAGCTCATGGACACCAGAATGAGAGCTGGATTGATAGCTGAGAGATCAGTGGTGATCATACAGTGAAAGCTTGCAACACCAGGTTGCTAATATCAGTGGGAAATGGCTTTGGAGTTGAAAAATCCACAGTGGGGGCTGTTGTCATGCAAGTGTTTAGGGCCATTAATGGGGAGTGGTTAGACTGCTTTGGAGTCTCAAACAGATCCTGGCTTCAGGCATAGCTGGACCTTCCCGCACTCCACTGCATGTCCCTCCTCCTCACTGTTCATGGCAGGGGTCTCCATCTTGGGTTCCACTGAGGTATCTGCAATGGTCTTCAGGGTGCTGGTGGGGTCTCCGCCAGCATACATCTCACTGTAAAAGTAGCAGGTCTGCACTTGGTATCAGATCAACTGTTGGCCCCCCTGCCTCAGTTCCTTCACTTTCACACACTGCTGCTGTTGATTGATGCCTGTCATATCCCTTCCCCTGCATCCCCTGGGTAATCTTTTCATAGATGACCCTGCTCCTATGACTGGTCCATAGCCATACCTGGGCAGCCTCTTCTCCCCACAGGCTGAGGAGATCCAACATCTCCTGTCTGCTCCAGGTAAGAGAATGTCTAAAGCTTGTAGTCAGCATGGTTGGTTGGGCAGTTGCACACAACAAGGGAGAGTTGCTAAATGTGCTCGCTAAGCTAGGCAATCAGGAAAAGGCATCAGAAAAACACGAGGGCTTTAAAGGAGGGGAGCTTTTCTGGGCTATATGACCGTGGGCGGTGGAGTTCAGAATTGTGACCAGAGCAGTCATTGTCAGGTACTGTTGGACAGCTAACTATTGGAGGACAGTTAGGGTCAATTCATAACACACAGTATCTACAGTTGCACTGTGTCGACCCTAGTATATCAACCATGGCTTAGCACTGTTCGGGGAGGTGGTGTTACTGTGCCACTGCAGCAGGGTGCTTATATGGGTAGGAGACAAATTTTACTGTAGACACATGAACAAACAAACCAATGCAAAGCAAAATACATTGACCGAACTTGGTGGAGTAGATCGGACCAAATTTTCAGAGCATTTTTAAGGATGGGGTTTTAACTTTTTCTTCTCTTCAGTCCATTTTCTGAGACATCCCTTTAGTTTCATCAGGGTTTAATAGCAGCTGAAATTCTGCTTCCGGTAAGTCTAAGCATCCTTATAGAAAGATTTTTCCAGCACTCAAATTAGTCTTTTTAGGTTTAAAAACTCTAAGAACTATTTAACTTTAAAGAGTCCTTGGAAGTTTGTTTTATTTTTAACAATCCTTGAGAGGTGATTCTTGTCTTTCTGTGTTTGGTAAGGAAACTGCTTATGTTAAGGCTAGGTCTACACTGGGGGGGGAGGGATCGATTTAAGATACGCAAATTCAGCTACGTGAATAGCGTAGCTGAATTCAACGTATCTGAGCCAACTTACCCCACTGTGAGGACGGCGGCAAATCAACCGCCGCAGCTCCCCCATCAACGGCACTTACTCCTACCTGTGCTGGTGGAGTACGCGCGTCGATTCAGGGATCGATTGTCGCGTCCCGACGAGACGCGATAATTCGATCCCCGAGAGATCGATTTCTACCCACCAATCCAGGCGGGTAGTGAAGACAAGCCCTCATTCATTCCCCTATTAAATGTCAATAATTTTATACACAAACGGCTTCTGGTATTGGTAACTAATCTAGCAAGGTTATTCAATTCCATGTTAGTACATAAAGCATCTTTTCACTTATATAGCAATGATATTAGGAAGTTATTATATTAGAAGCTTTGCATTTGGATAACATTTGCAAATATACATCTCAAAAGAAGTTGGTGTGACCTTTTAAACACTTAGGGAATAAACAAAGGCTTTTTCTAAAATATTTCTCATTTATATGTATTTTTGTTAAATGAAGATTTTAGAATATTTATAAAAATTTACTTTCAATAGGGAAATTTTTTAGCACCTTTTTGAGTATGTTTACCAAAGACTCTTTTCTTGCAAAAGGGGGTCAAAAAAGACCATTTTTACAACATAGTTTTATTACTTCTGATAACATCTCTACGTTCCTCTTTGTCCTAAACAGAGCATCCTTACTTTTTTTTTAAGTCAGGACTTCTTTCTAAAACATAAATATTTTGTGAAGTCTTAACCAGACTAGTGTGTCTTCAGTTTTGATAAGGCAATCATATTGGTTGCCTGCTCTTTGAGCAACTGGTTTTTATATTTATAATCTACAGTTTATAACATTTACAACTTGCAGTTCCTATCCAATATCCATCCAAAGCACAGTTACAATAACTAATATTTATATACGCCTTTCAAAACAGCATAAAAGAAAATCATATATAATGTTAAAGCAAAGTACAAGTTACAAACTGCATTTCAGAGCCTGCTAAACATTCTTTGGGGTAATAAATATAGTGTTATCTCCCTTTGACACTTGAGGTCTGTACCTAGATGACAAAGAAGCAAATTTCCTAGCAGTTCCTTTAAATTAGCCTGAACATTTCTTTTAATAACAAACATGTTATCCTCTAAGCATACTGCATATGAAAATACTTGTATCTCATTCAGTGAAGGTGCAAGCAAGTTTGTAATGACGTAACATTATCAGAATAAATTATAAATGTATGTAATAACCATTTTGGCATCAATACTGAGGTTTTCCACATAGCAAATTTATTTTCATTATTTCATGAATTTTGGACATCAGATCTCCATGCTATTTTCAGTCTTTGATTATGAACTCTGGCTACACATATACAGACAATATAGCTGCCAGAGGGGATTGAACTGGAAGCCTTTTAGCATCAAAATATATATTTTTTTATCTAAGATCTGAAAGGTAGTCAATTCTTGACTACTTTGTTTTTGCACTTCAAAAATAGTACGTTTGTTTCTAACTTTCCTCTTTCCTCACTCTGTAGTGTGAGTAGACTCAATCACATACGATTAAAATAATGTGACCATAACAGCATCCCAAGGCCAGAGGGCAAGGGGCTCCCTGGTATCTGGCAATGAATTTCAGCTGTCTTGACCAGTGTACACCAATTCATTGGTTTCATGATCTGTATTTAAAATATGCCCTGTAATATATCATTGGAAAACTAATGACACACTGGTGATTAGTATCATTGTGAAATATATGTATTAATACTATATGTGGAGTTATAGATGTTCTCTTATAATGTTTTGAAGTAGATAACAGGTCTGCCCAGCTCTTGAGTACAAATGAAGCTGGTTTGACAAGTGACAATGGGATTGCAGTTTACATAGATGGTAAACAGAGCCATGAAAGGTAGCTACAGTCAGCATGTCTGGGTCACAAAGGAATGAGTATTTGCTTGTCTGACTAGCCTGGTCATCAGGCAGAGACAATGATTAATACAGGTAGGGTAAACAAAGCCACCAAGAGAGCAAGTGGGGAAAGGTGGTGACTTAACAATCTCCACTGGGGATGGAGATGGCACCCGCAGGAAGCCTTCCTCTTGCAGCAGGCTCAATGAACTTTGAGAGAGATGCTTTTCAAAAACGAAAGAGGCCAGAGCTCTTGAGGTCACAGAAGGATGGGTCCTTCAGCCAAGGGAGATTGAAGTCTCTGGACATTGATTATAAGCAAGAAATCTGCTTAGGCAAAGATTGTAATTGGCTGAAATTACATTTTATTCTTAAAAGCATATTCCTACTTTGGTTTGTTTGTAATACTTTCTGACCTTTATTCCTTCTGCTTGGTATTACTTAACCTATAACTTTTGTTTAATAAACTTGTTTTACTTCTTACTCTAAATCAATCCACTGCTTTGATTAGAATGAAGTGTTAGTTAACTCCAGTGAGGTGGTAAACTGTTGATGTACTGTTACTTTAAAGGAAACAGCAAAGTTAATAATTTCTCTAAGTGTACCAGGAAAGGGCTGGATGCTTTAGGGCAGATGGTTTTGGGGAAATATGGGACTGGGAGTGTGTTTGGGGTCACCCCTGCATAAGGTAACTGGGCAATAAACTAGAATGAATCTATTGTAGGCAGTTGCTGGGGTCTGAGCGCTGAATCAGAGCTGCAAAGCATGCAGATGCTCAGGGGACTGCATGCTTGTTTACTGGCTGTTGGTGTCCATGCTGTGAACCACAGCAGCAGAACATTTAAGGCACCCAAGGTTATAGGGCAGGAAGTGTCACAATCTCTCATTAGTCTGGATTGAACCTCAGAATGTGACAAATAGACATAGAATCATAGGAGATTAGGGTTGGAAGAGACCTCAGGTGGTCATCTAGTCCAACCCCCTGCTCAAAACAAGACCAACCCCAACTAAATCACGTTGCTTTGAAGATTACTTTTAGTGGAAGTTGTCTCTTATCGGTAATTCAATAAATATAAGGATTTTGACAAGTGTCTGCAGGTTGTCCTAGTTTGGATTAGGGTTTTTCATTTTAGGAGGAGCAGTAGCTTTTTTGTTTATTTATGGAAGTCTCTCCAGGTATAAGATTAACATATAAGCCATACTGCTGTTTTGCACCCTTGGTTCGGACTGAGCCTCTAATTCTGCAATTGTCTGCATGCACGTATAGATTTCTGGCCTGATTTTTTTTAATTAATTTAGGAGGCCTGGTGTATAATTAGTCTTGCATGTTGACTTTGCAGATTCCTTTTGCTATAATTTTGGATGAGGTCACATTTTTATTTGCTAATAAAATAGTACACTATGATCTGGTATGATACTGTATGTGAAACCAATGTATGTTGGGAAACAATGGAGAACATGAGCTGTTTTTGCTGAAAGGAGATATGGAGAGCTAGATTTAAACTTCAGATTTCTACTAATATTTTCAATAGAAGATCCCTCTAGATTATAACTTTGTTGGTAAATTCTGAGCAAATGGTGATGTGATTTCAGGGGAAATGTCTCTTGGTAAGTCAACTTACCCTGATATTTGGTAATGTCTTGGTATTATATCACACCTTACAACAATGTTTTATGCTAATAAGTATTAAGATACATGTGGTGCATGGTAAAAATCTGGAAATATGAACTAGAGTTTACTACATTTAATTAGAGCTATTATTTGAAAGGGGTTTACTGATTAATAGACTAATGGACAGAAATCAATTGCTGGAAGCATTCTAGGAGGTTCATAAAGAACTGTATTCATCATTCTATTCAGCACGCCTGTCCTGCCGCAGAGGAATGCATGTCTCTGTTTATCATTGCCAAACTGCATCTTCTGATTTCTAAAATAAAACCACTTGCTTAAAAGATTAGTTTGTTGTTTATGGAAAAAAAGGGGCATCTAAAAAAATGATACCCAAAAGCATGGTAGTTAGTTTTGCATCCCTTTGCATGATACATCATGGAACTGAAGCCTCCTGTAACTTCTTTATTTCTTTTATATTGTGTTAGTGAGAGAGTTCAAAGCATTTCTACAATGACAGATAATGACTCATATTTGTTACTATGCTTTTTCAGCCACTATTTATATATGTTTATTTTCTCACCTTCATATAGTCCTCCTTGATTTTTGTCAGTGATTTTCCTCTTCTACTTAGAACCATGCTTCTGTGGATTCTATGGGATCTGGAGGGTAATGCAGAAAGATATTTTGTCTTCCTTAGATGCCCAGGACCTGCTGGGGTTTTTTGTACTGACAGGATTGATGGGTTTTGACCCTGCCTGTTCCATTGTAGGAGGAAGGCATGAGAAGCAAACATCCTCTCAACTTACTGGAGAGATCTATGGTAAACTCTGCTGGTTGAAATTGTTTTGTGGACTTTGGCAAAAAAAACAAAAATAAAAGATTTGTCTAACATGGGGGAAATGTAGGCCAATGTCAGTGTACCATTCCATCTGGCCGTATTCTAAGTCCAGGCCTTGAGGCAACTCTGATACTTGAACTTTCACTAGATGAGAAATAGGTCTGATTTAGATTCCGAACATTTTACATATGCACAACAGCTGTCCTGGCCTCAAATTTAAAGCACATGTTGCTGTGAAACAGTTTTTGGAGGATTGAGAGGTATTTATGCTTAGATTCAGTTATTCATTTCTTGCTGGTATAGGCTTTAGAATACCATGGCTACTACTAAATCCATTACTCTTGCTAGATGAACTCTGAATTTGGAATGGAAACATCATAATTCTAGGCACGTATATTTTCTTAAGTATTTGTGTAATTAAAGAATCTAGGTCTTTGGCAGAGACCTTAACATTTAAGTGTTGCTACTGGAGTTCTGGTAAATGAGTCTGTTGAACTTTAAAGCATTTCTGTACACCGCAGATAGTGACACTGTTGTATAGGCTGAGTATGCATGATGGGGTTCTTCCTAACACCGTCTCAGGAACAGAAAGACGATTCAAGTGCAAACTATTAGAGAGCCTTAGAAAAGAGATCCCAGGAAGGATATGCCTCTGATTTGGCTTAGTCTTTGGATAGCCTGTTAGATCTCTGAAGGCCTACCTTCAGACAGCATTTCCTCCAAATGTTAAATGTTTTCTTTAATAGCATTATTATAATTGAAAATTATACTTCTGGGAGTAATGTAATAGAAATGGCAAATACTATTTTTTAATACTGTGATGTTGTTATTGGTTTCCATTAGAATTTAAATTGTTGATTTTTATCCATGTACCCCAAGTGCCTTTGGGTGAGACTGACTCTCCCTATGTGATACTGAGACAGAAACAGTCAGCAGCAGCATTGAACTGGAGCTCTGTTGGTTCATAAGAGAGAATTTCTGGCAAAGTGTCCTCCATAAAGGGCCCTCCATTTTGGAAATGCTTTTCCATCATTTAGAAAAGAAATAGTTCGACCTGCAGGGCATGTTACATTGCCCATCTGCTTACTAAGACACAAAGATCCTATAAAAATGATGTTTAATGGAGGAAAGGAATAATTTCTGAGCTTAATTTGTTATTTGGTCATTTTCTCGTTTGTAAGCTAGGCGTAGCTGCTGCTTTTTCCTTTTGATTTGATGGTCATTTTAATTTTGGGCTAAGGTGCCCATAGCCCACGATGGATATTTTTCAATTATATCTAAATAAAATTAAAATGGTGAAGTATTATTGGCTGAAAAACCATATTGTCAGCTGGTATTCACCATGCTGCAGGGTCAACTAATCACCTTAGATTTATAAAGCACTTTCAACCTTAAAAATCTGAAAACTGTAGTGTTTCTCAGCACCAAAGAAAATTTGTACATTGACTGAATTACAGATTTGACATTCTTAGCCATCATTCTCTGAACATGCTTTTTTTTTTAAACTAGGCCTTGATGACTGCCTCCAACAATACATTAAAAATTTTGAAAGGGAAAAAATCAATGGAGAACAGCTGTTGCACATCACTCATCAAGAACTTGAAGAACTGGGAGTCACTCGCATTGGACACCAAGAATTGATCTTAGAAGCAGTTGATCTGCTCTGTGCATTGGTAAGTAGGCTGTTTTTTGGGGACATTCATTTTAATAATATAGGTTTATGCATCTCCTAACCAAAGCTAAGATAATGAAGACTGCATGAAATACAGCACCTTCACCAATTCCTGCCTTACTTAAATATTGTTCCTTCTTGCTTCAAAATAGGATGTATTTGCAGATGCTTCTGTAAGTACAGCTGAATTAACCATTTTCCTTCTGAAAACGTTAATATTATTTTTAGTCTTTTTCCATAGATTGTCTTTGTCTTCTCCTTTAGCTTCTTGAGTGTCGTATTCATATGCCGTGCATGATCAGCACTGGCATCCTTATGGCCCAATGATTGTATACCATATGCCCTCCCATTCCACTGAACTTTACCATAGTACAGTAAACCATATAGTTCCTGCATGTGCAAGGCATGCCAGCACTCAAGGAGTTAATGCAGAAATTGTGGAGGATGTGTTAATTAGACTGGAAGATGATTTTAAAATTAATTTTAAACCATTTTTGCAAAAATCACAATAGACTTTACCCTAAACATTAAATACTGACACCATGTGATCAGTTTGCTAGCTTTGTAGTAGCACAGTTTTAATGTGCAGAAGAGTCAAGTTTAGAAGCAAACTTATTTTCTGGCTGGTGAAAAGTTACTGAGTTACGTACGCCCTGTTCAAGTTGTCTGGGTGCCAGTAATGTACTGTACTTTTTTCTCTTAAAATGCCTCCTACCAGTTGATAAAATTAAATGTGATGGCACCAATCTTAAAAAAACCACCACCACCACCACCAAATGTTGTCTGAAGTTGTCCAGGTAAGGCTCAGAGGCAGAGGGACTTGGATACAAGAGAGTATAAATTGTAATTAAAAAGAGGGGGATGTTTTATATGTGATGAATAGTCTGGGAGCCCAGGCTTCAAATTTTTGGCTATGTAGCACCTCATATACAGAAAGCAACAACTGTTTTTTGATAGAAGTGTCACTTCGGTACTTATCAAGGCTGGTTGTGGTGGTGTAAAGCTGAAGAAAGGTATGCCAGTGCAAGATTTTTTCAATATGTATAGCCTCATAAAATGCCAAGACACTGTAGTCTTGATGACAAGTGTCCTAGACATCTTGCTGATATTCTTCATTACAGTAAAGACTGTACTCCATTCAATAGGTGATTCTGGCAGCACTGGATGGTGCTTTTAAAATATTTTCATTAGGGCTATCAAACGATTAAAAAATTAATCAGGATTAATTGCAGTTTTAATTCCACTGTTAATAATAGAATACTGTACCATTTTATTTAAATATTTTGGGTGTTTTCTACATTTTCAAATATATTGATTTCAACTACAATATAAAATACAAAGTACAGTGCTCACTTTATATTATTATTTGTATTAAAAATATTTGCATTTTAAAAGAGACCAAAAAATAGTATTTTTCAATTCACCGCATAGTACTGTAGTGCAATCACTTTATCATGAAAGTGCAACTTACAAATGTATAATTATTTTTTTACATAACTGCACTGGAGAAAAAAAGTAAAACTTCAGAGCCTGCAAGTCCACTCAGTCCTACTTCTTGTTCAGCCAATCGCTAAGTTCATTTACATTTACAGGACACAGAAAGTATTAGAATTTCTCCATGTTGTTTCTATCTTAGATCTCATTTCAAGGGATAAACATAAATGATTGATTGGATGTGCATGTGATTACAATCTAGTTGTATTATGTGTGGTCAGGTTCTATGGCCTCTGTCATGCAGGAGGTCAGATTAGATTATCATAATGGTCCCTTCTGGTCTTAAATTTTATTAATATGAATCATATTGGGAGCAAGTTGAACATACTGGGAGTAGCTGTAAGAAAAACATTAACGAACATACAGAATTTTGCTTTGATTATGGTCGTAATCCTTTTAATTAACTTTTTTTGGTGAACATTTTGGGAAGTTAAGGTTTATTTGTATGGAAAAATCATTTGGACCGGTATCTGAGATTAGTTTAATCACAAAATAAAACTGTAGGGGCAGAGACAGATGTAGTATTTAGATATTATGTTATCCAGTCAAAGAACAGTAATACTAGTCCATGAGCTAAATGAGTAATCACACAGCTCACCTCCCATTCCTGAATTCATTTGGACAAGAGATCATCTTTGTGCTAACTGGAATAAGGCAAGTTGTTGGAAGTAGAGGGGTTGTTTGAGAAGGAGATGATGGGAGGAGGAAGTAGGAGCCAGGGACTTTGGTATTGCATAATGTGTGCTCTCATTACACTGCTCTACAGCCAAAATGCTTCTGAAATAAATGTAGTCAAACTTTACTAACTCTGGGTCACTGAGAATGAAAGTGATGCTTAAAATTGTTGATTGGCTCTAGTTTTCAAGATATGTTATTGGGTCAGTATATACGACCCTTGACTTGGGAATGGCGGAGGATAAGTGAGTTATAAAGGGAAGGGATCTCAATTTAAACCAGAAATGACTAAAATACAGCTTTGCCTGGATCTATGAATAAAT